AAAAAAAATTCGAATAGCAGGCCATGACTTCGTATCTGAACATAACTTTTAATTCTAAGCAACTTTTCTTTTCAACATATTTCTAAATTTTTGAAATAAGGGTACTTTACTCCTGAACGAACTTTATATTGTTTGGCCTATCCTATATGGTGTTAGTTATAAAGCCATTTCAGGTACACTTGGTATAGTTTTGGAACATGCACCAACTTTTGTCAAGAATAAAATTTTCTGAAAAATCGATAATAAAAAGTTTCCCATTTGTTGCACACTCAGTGGACCACACTGTATAGCAAGCTTTGGTGCATATGTAGTTTGTTTCCTTTACCTATTTTTAGTATACAGTTCTGAGTAGTTTTCAAATTTTGTAATTCATTATTATATGATCCTCCCCATATTACAATACACTATCTAAATAATGGTTGAATAAAAGATGTATAAATAAGTTTTAGGTTTCGATCGTCTAAAATGTATCTAAGTATATACAAGATTCAAATCAATTGCCTAGCTTTGTTTTTTACATATTTCGCATAGACGTTCCATTTTAGGTGTTGATCGACAATTATGATGAACACTTGCGGTATGGTTGGGAGCATGTTTTATTATGAAGCATAATATTATTTCTGTTTGGTTGTTCACAGACATTTGTAGAAAATCTTATCAATTCACTTTTCACGTACAAACAAAATTTCTGTATCGTCAGCATATGAAACACGATGTCCTTGGGAATCTTCAATTTTTGCTATCCAGTTGATATACACAAGGAAGAAAATCTGGCCTACAACTGTTCCCTGCGGTACACGCCATAGTTGACCTCACAAAAGACAGACAGACAAATGTTTATGTATATTTCTTGACTTAGCAAAAGCCCTCGATACAGTGTCTCACGAAATATTAATAGAAAGACTAAATGAGGCAGGTATTTGCGGTCCAGCGTTGAACATTTTAGAAAACTATTTGAAGCGCAGATATCAGATAGTAAAAATTGATCACATTTGCAGCACAATACTTGAAAAGACAACAGGTGAACTGCAGGAAACAGTTCTAGGCCTGATTTTTTTCTTGTATATATCAAATCGAAAGCAAAAATCGAAAATTTTCAAGGGCATCTATTTTGTTTCATACGCTGACGGTACAGAAATTTTGTTTACTCATGTCGGGGCCGTGATAGATAAATTATTGTTTACACGTGTTCAACGATAACATTTATTAACACAAAACACAACTACAAAACACTACGACAAAATAACAAAAAAAATCTGGAGGGCCACGTGGCTTGGAAGAACTAACTCTCAGTGAACAGAATCGATGTTACTCGCTCGACAGATTGCACCAGAAAAGAACTCTTGTCTCTAGATTTCTACCCAGGTGGCGAAACGGAAATTCAGTTCAGCCAACACACGTTTCGAGAATTCGACTTACATTCGAGAATACGATTACAGTGTTCGATTTGGATGACTGCTTGACAATAGAGAAATTACATGTTTTTATACTAAGCAGTTGTAGGAAAAGTCCCTACAGTACCCCCCTGCCAGTGGTGAACGACATAACATTGAGAGTGGATATGATATATGAGGAAAAGAAAATTTGGTAAACTAAAATATTGAGAAGGAATACTAAGTGCGAGCCCTTTGAGCTGCTAAAAGTTGAATAAATTTTTGCAACAATGAAACTGAGACTCAAATTGGAATTGTATTTTCCAAATAAATAGATTTTTGCAAAGATACAATTCGTGAGATGTTGAAGTCGAATCGCGAGTTTTAAATTGAAATCGAATCGATGAAGGAATGATGAAACGAGAGAAATTCGATTTTTGAGTGTGCAAAAATGTATTGAACTCTATGAAATTGTTAAAGAGAATTGTGAAATTTGCGTGGATGAGAGAAAAAAAAAGGTTTACAAATTATTTCATCTTGTGATTACTAATTGAATCGTCAAAATGAAAGAATAGGTTGCAAAATTATTTAATTAAAGCCTGCCTGGTAGCGTTCGGTGAATCGAACACGACGACCTGAGCGCTTCATGAAGGCAGATGGTGATGCTGGTTCCTGTTGTAACGGAGCTTGATTATCTCCTGGAGTAATAGGAATGAAGGTTTCGTCATCATCCAGGTCATCTTCGGGTTCAGCGAACTCCTCGGGGATGATGTAGGCTGGTTTGAGGCTGTCGATGGACACTGGAACGTTTCTGCCTCGCATTGCAAGAGTGAAGTGTTTGTCGGTTCGGGAAACAACTTCGTAGGGTCCATCGTAGGGCAGCAGAAGCGGTCCTCCTGTAGCGTCGTACCTGACGAAGACGTGGCTGGCGGTAGCGAGGTCTTTGAAGACAAAGAACTTTCGCTCACCGAGCCTGGTGCCGCTGACCGGCCTGCGTGCCTGGAAGTGCTGGCGTAGCTCACGTATGAAGTCGGCCGAGTCGTCTATGTCCCTGGTGGAGGTTGATGCTAGGAACTCGCCAGGAAGTCGACAGTAATGTCGCTGCATCTTCCAAAACCTTCGTGGAGGCCTCCATGAGACACCTCAAGGTTGCCAAAGAGAGTGTGTGTTCGGCGAGTCTTGGCCTACACCTGTCAATATAAACGAGATGTCTCCTAGTGACCTGTCCATCTTCCTGGAAAGAACAGGATGGACGATGACCTAAGAGGACAACTCTTCGGGAGGATGTGCAATGGGTCACGTGTGGCCTAAGTGCAGTGAGTCTACACTCACCCTCCCTGCTCTACAGATATCAGATACCAGAACATTTTCTACAAATGTCCCTAAACAACCAAACAGAAATAATATTATGCTCTCAACGGAACCGCAAGTGTCCATCTATTCAAAAAAACCCAAAAAAATAAATATCTTGCCGTTATTGTCGATCAACACCTAAAATGAAACGTGCATGCGAAATATGTGAACAACAAAGCTTGGCAATTAACTTCAAACTTATATATACTTAAATACATTTTGGACAATCGATACCTAAAACTTATATATACATCTTTGATTGAACCATCATGCAAATACTGTATATGGGGAGTATTACATAATAATGCATTACATTTGAAAATTACTCAGAACTGTATACTAATAATAGGTTAAAAAACAAACGTTTCTCCACTAATAGGCTTTACGAAGCCTACATATACACCGAAGCTTGCTATTTGTAAATTGAAATAGAATATACCTATTAAAAATAAAAGATGAAAAAACTATTGAAAAAAATCACTCTAAATACCCATGTATAATTTATTCTTGTGATCATTCTTCAGAAGAAGCGAAAGATCAGGAAGAAATTCCAAAAATCCACGGCATTCAATCACGAAAAGTACTGACAGTGAAAACCTTGGCCGAAAGTCTTAACCATTTACTCAACATAAATATTTTCTTATTTCCAATACTCCGAATACTGTTTTGCATATTTTGTCACTGCTTTTTGATGTAGTTCACAATTTTGATATTGTTACAAAATATCTCAATTAGTATTGCGAACAAGCTATTTTATTCACCACTCGAAAGAATAAATATTTAAATGTAAAGAAACTCGATCAAATTTTGACGGGACATATATGCGGGTTGAGGTGTATTTAATTTGAATAAATTTTCTATCTGCCGTCAGTCATTAAATTTGAAATTTAAAACGGAATTTAATTGACCGAACCCCTGTCAACACAAAAAAAAATATCTATCCAATCACGGTAATTGCAGCAAATACAAGTTACTTATTAGTATGATGTGGGACGAATAAATCGGAGATTAGATCAATCGACTGAAATCACTCACGTGGGAATCAAAATATATTAACAAACAGTTATAAATAATACAATAAGTAAGTAAGGTAATATAAGAAGGTAAGTAAAACAAAAACCACGTTTCATTTACAGAAAATTTGTTCGTAACTGTTCGCAGGTATTTCAGAAATGGAAGAAAATGTAGACCAAATTCAGAATGTATCATTTATCCAAGACTATTAGAGTTCTGCTGCTAATAAAACTGAATTCAACTAAACTTTTCACTAGATCTTAATTTTAAAGTTGATAATATCCTCTGAAGACCCTTTGAATTGCTATTTTTCAAACGATACAGGGAAGATTTTCTGACAGTCTGACAGCAATTACAAAAAAGATTTCCAATGATTCTTACCTATGATAAAAATTCATGGTATATTGTGAAAAGAAAAACATTATTTCTGGTCACCCTATGGAATGAAAATGAAAATTGTCTTATATACAACTGAAAAAAAGCTTTCCCTAAAGATTTCCAAATTATCATTCATACCACACCTTTCACAAAAAGATAATATCATTCAGAACTCAAAAAAATAGAGCCTCAGTTTTTGTCATAACTCAAACTCAAACTCAAAGTGAAATCTTACAAAAAACAGCATCGAAACATGATACATACAAAAAATAAACTGACAGTAACTTAGTAAAAAAATACCATAGATACATTAAAAATCTTCTCGAGAAAGTTGCAAAGTTCACTATTTGTTACTATGTTGAAAAAATTTGCCACCTTTTCCCAAAAAGGACAAATATTCAAAGTGGTGTATTCCATAACATACCATGAGAGAAATACAACAACGTCTATATCAAACAGACCCGTATATCGGAACACCAACCACTACCAAATGGTCCTGAGTCAGTATATTTTTCGTATTCTGACAGAATAGGTGAACATATTAATTTTGAGGGGAGCTACTACTGACATTTTTCATCAATAATGAACTACCTATGATGCCACAAAAGAACAAATTCGAAGTAGATGCCATCTATTGACGAGTGTCTCAGCTAATGAACTATTATTTTGGTTTGGAACATTATTGAAACATATTTCTGTTAATGGTGGCAGACTAATTATTATCTTCTCTATTGCGTACGTCAAGTAGCATCATTTGTTTGCAGTTTCCGAATTAAATCTGCTGGTTACTCAGGAACAGATGATGCGAGTTCTTAAAGTAACCCAGTTTCAAGAGTATTGAAAGACTCATCAAACAAGGTAACGCAAGACCCTCATTTCTTTAAAAAACATAGCCTCGTTTCGGCTACGAGTGAAGCCGTGCTGGTGTTTTTCTTAATAAAAATGTAACATTCTTACCACCAGTTTGATCTTCCTCTTGAAGATGATTACTTGGTGATCAAAAAACGTGTCAAGGTGTTGAAATAACGGTTTGGTGTTGGGAAAAAACTCCAGTAATATTTCTCACCTGAACTTTGTCCCATCTTTTTCTGTTAAAAAGTGAAGTGAGGGGGGCATTTTCAATCCACACCGTATCTTATTGAGTAAATCTATGTAGCCGGTCGGTTCGACGTGCTTTGTTCACTCATTCAATCGACCGCTGTGTGAGTCGGTGGTTCAAACCGAAGACCGAACCATCGATTTCTACTTGCTATCGTCCAACCCGTGTTAGGAATCACACGTTAAAAGGTAAGACTTCGTTAGCTCGCACAAGTTTCGCTTTCTGAGTTCTATTTCTTTGCATTTCTGTTACTGTTGGGCATGTTGACATGAATTCCGATAAACTGGTACAAAACTTCCACCTTTCGGTCAACTTTTTGATTTCGCTTTTGAAGAAACATTGGCAAACGTTAGGTCATTGCACGTCAAGTCCCTAAAGGCTGTACTAGGCAAGATTGGGGTTTTCATGATTAACCATACATATTTATTTATGTATAACAATCTTTGGTAATACTATACGTGGATAAATCAATAATATCGAAATCAATCGAATATCAATCAATCGAAATATCGAGTATTACCGAAGTGAATGTTCATCTCGAACTGGATCTTTGCTGTAACCTTCGTTGCGAGTAAATATAGTTCTGGAATCGTTATCGCCTGGCCTACCTACCATGCAAACGAAACAAAACAAAATAATTTATTCTAAACCACAAACTCGTTGACATATTATGTTAACGTGGAATATCGTAGACCATAAACAAATAAAAAATAGTGTATATGAGTTGTACCCACGTAGTGCCCGAGCTTTGTTGTTTACTCAACGCATACTAGATGTTTGAACGTCCTTGCAATGATCTTGGTAATATCCCACGATACTACGAAACTTTCTTTACCGGTTCCGAGGAATTCTGGATTCGATTGATTCGCTTTTGAATCTTTCGTGGAAATACATTATCCTGATAATTCTGAGAATAAACGTTTTGAAGTGAATTTGGTTGAGAATTCAATGTCGTTAAGTTTTGATCAACACATCTAAATTGACTGTTCTGAAATGATCAGAAGAGAAGAAGTTTAATAAACAGGAATAATGTTATGAACCGTTTTCGAATTTTTGATATCTCAACTTTCATTTTTATTCACGCCGTAGGAAAGAACTTGTTTCTGTATTGAAATAAACAGGGGTTTGCATTAGCATCTAACGCTTGCATAAGTTTCATTCATTTTACATAAACAACACCTTACGACTTAATCTCCACTTTAATTTAAAATGAATATAGTTTAAAAAACACGCTTTTGAAGAACATCGAACTGAAAAGTTGAAAAAATATTTTTTGTAAATGAGCCTAAAACAATAACGAACGAAAAATACTAGTATTATTTTATTGATATTTCCGAAATAATGTCGATAATTCAGTCAAATACAGATCCCGATATGAAATGAAAAGGAGAGTTACAAACAAACATACATACAGGTGAATCTAATATAAAGCGTGTAAAAATTTCATGACATGTTTTGCCAACACAGTAGCTTTTTGACGAAACATGTCATGGTATTTTTTTATGTAAAGTTTGTGAAGATCAAATCGTGAGGAGTAGTTAATGAAATTATTATGGATATGCATCAACTAACGGCCGAATCAATCAGAAAAATAAATTTCATTCATATCCAACTTACAAACAAACTTGCGATTGTAAACTTTGAAATGTGTGAAAGTTGCACTTGCAAGAAAACCTTTCATGCACATTTCGACCGCTTAAAGTAATATCCGTTTTGACAGATATTAGCGTCCGGATATAAACTACATATATTTTTTTCGGGTTCGTTGGCCGTTGGCACCAGGTTATCAAAGGAGATAAAACAACAGACCAAGTGCTGAGGTTGTTCTCATAGCAGATATTACATCGAAGTTCCGTTTTGGCCATTGATCGAATTAATACTTTTACACTGTGATTTAGTGAAGATTAGGTTAGGTCCAAAGTGAGTGGGACTATTCGACCCTTCACCGCAACCCACACGGGTTTATTGTGGCTCACACCTATTCACACTCGACCAAATAAACCCAGCTTCTTAACGAAGCCGATTGGTTTGTATGGTGAGTGGTCTTTCGGGTCAGATGGTAAGAGTACGGCTCTGTCAAACTCTGAAAAGCTGCTTCGATCCCCAGCGGAGCAGGCACAAAGTATGTACTCTGATGTTTCATCATTTTCCAAACAGAGGCAATACACAGTGTCTTCCGACAGTCCGAGTCTCTGCATATGATGATTCAAATGATAGTGTCCTGTAAGAAGGCCTATTAGACATCATAGTTCATCCTTACAAC